GATTAGATCCTGGATGAAAGTTGTTTTACCGTTGACAGATCTGGCGTTCAACAGCACCACTTTCAATTCGGATAATTTTTAATAATAATTTTATTTGTTACTCAGTTTTTTCCAAAACGAGGCGAGAAACAACATTCAGGCTATTGTGAAAGCTTCATTCTGACACACCAAGGCTCTTTAGCACAGAATTCTGTATATCTCCCAAAATCCCAGGACTTGATGGAGTCACAACAGTAAAAGGGGAATCAAGGTGCCACTAATGTAACATCATAAAACATTGATAATAGCCTGTGGATCCAGTCTCTAGAATCCTGCGATTTATAGTTTGTCAAAGTACTTAGAAATTGTCTGATCAGAGTACTAGCTCCTCCTCCTCATTTGTTCATATCCTGCTCGTCATTCGTGATCAAGACCCAAAGCTTACCCTTATGAACCTTAGCAGAAAATTAAATGACATTTATTTATTTATTTATTTATTTATTTATTTAGACGTTTTATATACCGGTCTTCTTGACCTCCGAGAAGGGACTCAGGCCGGTTCACAACATGTGTTCATATACAGTAATATAAAAACAGCACAGTGCATCATCATTATACATTAAAATATAAAATGCAATAATATACATCATCACATTGCACAAGCCAAGTCGTCAAATACAGTCACAATTCATCGCCATCCTTCCATGTGGACAAGAGTTATTGACTCAATCATCGAATGCCATATTCCAAAGTCAGGTTTTCATTAGCTTTCTAAAGGTCAGGAGGGAAGGAGCAGATCTAATCTCTGGTGGGAGGGAATTCTAAAGCCAAGGGGCCACCACCGAGAAGGCCCTGTCCCCTGTTCCCACCAGACGCGATTGCGAGGGTGGTGGGACCGAGAGCAGGGCCCCTCCGGAAGATCTTAGTAACCTTGATGGTTCATAGGGGAGAATCCGTTCGGACAGGTAAACTGGGCCGGAGTCGTTTAGGGCTTTAGTCATTTTAGACATCTCCCAGGATTCTGGAGAAGGTAGGCATTCATGTTAAAGGAGCACCAAAGCCCCTTTAATATGTTGGAGGCTCCTCTTCTGGAGGCTCTTAAGCATAGGCTGGAGGGCCATCTGTCAGGGGTGCTTTGAATGTGATTTTCCTGTTTCTTGGTAGAACGGGGTTGGACTGGATGGCCCACCAGGTCTCTTCCAACTTAATGATTCTATGACTCTAAAGCACTATAATTGTGCAATGTGGACACACACAGTAAAATGTTTTTAGAGTGCCGTGCATGATCTTTTAAAAGCAGTTTTGGTTTTTTAAATCAGCCTTGCAGGTGGGACATTTGAGGGGATGATGGGAACTGTAGTCCAATACTGGAGGATACCAAACTACTTTTAATTTTTTTCTCTTCTTGGTGTGTCTGCACTGTAGAATTAGTGCAGTTTTGTAACACTTTAGCTTCTATGGCTCAATGTTATGGAATCCTGGCAGTTGTACTTTGGTGAGGCACCAGCACTCTGGCAGAGGAAGTCAAAGAGTGTGCAAAACGACAACTCCCACAATTTTACAGCATTGAGCAATGACAGCTATGGTGATGTCAGATTACATTAAGTTTACAGTGCTGATGTACTCTCAGTTTTCTCTCTCTCTCTCTAAGAAAAGCGGTTTGCAAATTGAACAGCAAGCAAAAAATATATCCAAGTCCAGTCAACCACATAAGTGAGACTTATGGTAATGAACTGCTCTGAGATTTGGATATTGAATTTATTATTCTGATCCTTCCAGGTGGTCACCTGCCTCTCTGTCCGCTTTTGGCAGTGCTTTCTGGAAAAGTTTGGGAAGAAGACAGCTGTCTTTGTTGGTCTGTCGGTGAGCATCCCTCAAAAGGGCACGTTTGGGATGAAATACTTCTTTTAGGGTACATATACACTGCAGAACGAATGTAGTTTGATATTGATACTACTTTCACTGCCATGGCTCAATGTGACCAAAGCCTGGGAGCTGTAGTTTCAAGGGGTCTTTTCCTTTTCTGTCAAAGAGTGCTGGTGCAAACTATGAATCCCAGGATTGCGTCGAGCCATGGCACTGAAAGTGGTGTCAAACTGCATTCACCCCACAGTGTAGATGCACCCCTAGCCAGCACTTTCTCGCCTCTCTTGTCTGCTGCAGCCGATCATCCCGTCCCTTGTTGTTATCTCCGCCGGGAGCTACAGTTTCCTGCTCTACGTCTTCCTGGTCGCCATGGCAGGAAGCAGTCTGGCCGTTCTGTACTTGTTGCCATGGTGAGTGGAAGGGAAGTCCCGAACAATTGTAGGTTTATGCGGGGTAGGCGAAGGATATGCACCCATATTTCCTGCAATACGGCATTCATGAATAGAGGCATTTTAGTGGATGAAATGCTTGTACAGGTTGAGCATCCCTTATCCAAAATGCTTGGTACCAGAAGGATTTTGGATTTCAGATTCCACCCCCCCCCCTCCCCACACACACATACCAGATGTTGGAATGTTTGAATTTATGTAATGTAAATGTCTTGGAGATGGGACACAAGTCTAAACATGAAATTCAGTAACCACACATTGTCTGAAGGTAATTTTATAAACAACTAGTGTATACATCCACCATTGCTCAGGTATGCATTCTCTAACTCTTTCTTTCCTTCCTTCGTTCTCTCATCCATCTTCTCCTTCTCTCTTTCCTTTCTTTCTTTTCTTGCTTCCATCCTTCCTTCTTCCCTTGCTTTCCCTCATACACTGCCCCCCCTTTTCTTTCTTTCCTTTCTCTTCCTTCCTTTTCTTTCTTCCTCCCTTCTTTCTTCCATGTCTTTCTGGTCCCTTTCTTGTCTTTCTTCCTTCCCCTCCAATCATACCTGCTCCCCTTTCAATTCCCCTCATTTCTTCTTCTTTCTTCCTCTCTGCCTCTTTCCTTTCCTTTCCTTTCCTTTCCTTTCCTTTCCTTTCCTTTCCTTCCCCTTCCCCTTCCCCTTCCCCTTCGTCTTGTCTTCCTTCCTTCCTTCCTTCCTTCCTTCCTTCCTTCCTTCCTTCCTTCTTTCTCTCTCCTTCCTTCCTTCCTTCCTTCCTTCCTTCCTTCCTTCCTTCCTTCCTTCCTTCCTTCCTCTCCCTCCCTTCCATATATGTGGGTTTTCTGAAAAGTAAGGTTACAAGTTTTTTTTTAAAAAAAATACAAAAATGACTATATTTTAATAAAACTTACATGGATTGTAGCATAGATATTACATTATTTTTCCACATAATCGCCATTCAGTTCAATGCATTTTGTCATCCGTGGGATGAGGTTTTGATGCCTGAGCCATAGAAGTTTCCCTCCACCTTTTTCAGCCAGTTTGTCACTTCGATTTTTGTCTCATCGTGATCAGAAAAGTGTTTTCCACCCAGGTGTTCCTTCCGTTTAGTGAACAGATGATAGTCACTGGGTGCAAGATCAGGGCTGTGAGAGGGGTGGCTTAAAACATACCAACCAAATGAAGTCAACAACTCTTGTGTTGCATGAGTGGTGTGTGGACAAGCACTGCCATGAAGGAGACTCCTGCCGTCAGCATCCCACGACATTTGTTTTGGATGGTTCTGTGAAGTTTCCTCCTGGTCTGACAATATATTCTGTACCCATTTGTCGCATGCTGTCTTGATATTATGTCCTCTCCATAAACTGAAAGAATTTCACTATTAATTGCAGCAGCGTTCAGGCCCTTAGGTAGCATATTACTACGCGAACTTCACACTTGAAGAGAAACGGAATGAGGATGCTCATCGTTAACCTTCACCACAATGCCAGTCGATGAGCTACTGACAACTGGCACTGCTTGTTCGCTTCTGCTGGCTTCCCACTACATGGCAGTAATACCAACTTCACGCAAGAAAATTCCCCATGAGAGCTACGTGCCTTGTAACCTTGCTTTCCGGATAACCCTCATATAGATCACCTAAGAGCAGTTGATCTGCTTCACTCTCATTCTTTCCCAGTCACATAACAGAGGGCCACTTTACCTAGCCTCATCCAATCCATTTCATTCCCTCTGCTCTGGGCTCAAAAGAAGTGATTTTTTTTAGTGCAAACTCCATAATTATTTTAAGTCAGATCATGACGGGAATGCGTGCCAAGTTTGGTCCAGATCCATCAAGTCATGGAGGAGCCTTTGTGGTACCAACCAACAAACATACCTTGAATTTTATAGATATTTGTCATAATTTGGTGCATGACACAAAGTTTGTGAACACTGAAGGCAAAGGAGTCATTATCTCAGCCACTCGCTGGGAGAGAGGGGGGGTGGGGATGAATTATTGTTGTTGTTACATGGCACCGCATCCTGTCTGATCTTGGATGCTAAGCAGGGTCATACCTGGTCGGTATTTGGATGGGAGACCTCCAATGAATCCCAGGTGCTGTAGATTGTATTTCCAGGAAAGGAACTGGCCAAGCTAGTTCTTTGGGGATTTCTTGCCTAAGAAAAGTCTTATGAAATTAATGAGGCTGACATAAATTGGTGACTTGAAGGCAAAGAAGGTCTGACCTTTCCTCCAAATGTTGCAAGCTAGAACTTCCAGGCCATAGAATAGGTCTCACTCCCAGACAACTCTTCTATGACATTCACAGCTGTTCTGATTTGGCAAAGATAGTCCCAATAAATTATTTGTCCCTCCTTTAGTTTGTTGTATGTGTAAAATTGTGGGTCTCTTTCCTCCAGGTCCATGCTTCCAGATGCGGTGGATGATTTCAAGCTGAGGAACCCAGCCTGCCTCGACCCTGAACCTCTTTTTTATTCATTTTACGTTTTCATCAACAAGTTCGCAGGTGGACTTTCTCTTGGGATTTCCACCATGAGCTTACAGCAAGTTTCTCTCTCTTTTTTCTCCCTCTTTGTAGACAAATGTCATTCCCTGCCTCCTGAAAAATCCCATTTGGGTGTCCTACAACTCAGAATTTGGGATTAGCAGTTTCCTAAAGTTCGTGTTCTTCAGCCATATTGGACTACACCAGGCAGGGGCAAACTTGAGCCCTCCAGGTGATTTGGACTTCAACTCCCACAATTCCTAACAGCCTACTGGCTGTTAGGAATTGTGGGCATTGAAGTCCAAAACACCAGAAGGGACAAATTTGCCTATACTTGGTGTAGATGCACCCTTAGTAGACCTCAAGCTGAACAGGAGTCAAGAGAGCAATGCAGCAGCTGAAAAAACCCCCTCAATATGATGCAGTGTTGCTCTTTTCTGTGATGCTCAGATCTTACTTGGAGCCATTGCAGTTAAAACGGTGTCAAACTGCATTAATTCCACTGTGTAGATGCATCCACTCCATTGCACTAAACTTTTTCTATCTGGTCTCAAAACTGACTCCTTTTGGATTTTAGCTTTGCAGGTTACAGAGCCGCTGACTGCATTCCCAGCCCTGGAGTTGTGCTCACGTTGCGGATACTCATGGGTCCTGTCCCCATTGCTCTGTTGCTCCTGGCCATGGCTGTGTTCTCTTCCTACCCCATCAATGAAGAGAGGAGGAAAGAGATGAAAAGGGAAAAGGAGGTATGTGGCTGCCAAGGAGAAATGCGTACATGGAGCAGCATGAGTTGGGATGTGGCTACACTGTGGAAGGAATGCAGTTTGTCACCACTTTGAGCTACCATGACTCCAGAATAAGGAACAGGCAGATCGTGTTGAGCCATAGCAGTTAAAGTGGTATCAAACTGCATTAATTCTGCAGTGTAGATGCACCCAGGGATGCTGATCCTTTCTGATTTCATACTCACAATTTCTCTTTCTCTTTTTTGAAGCAAGCATCAACTTGGAATGAACGCACTGAATCAAAAGCAATCTAATCTCCAAAGAGAAGAAAGATGCCCTTGGCTTCTGGCTGGGAAGAGAAATTTGGACCATTATGACTCTGACCTGATAGAGATTTTAGCACTACATGAGGCAATAACTCACTTTCAGTAAAAACAACAACAACAACAACAACAACAACAAAAACCTCTCTTAACTTGGAAGGAGATACCAAAGATCTGGATTCTACAATGCTCACTGTATTTTGACTCTCATATGGGGTCAAGCTTCTCCTTGCTGTGCTAAGGATATAAGAAGCTGCTGTGTTCAAGGAGGGCTTTATCACACCAGTTTGTTGTCCCACATCAATTGCGTTATATCAACAAATGGACTACAAGCTCTTGCCTTTTGCTATTCTGATCAGAGGATGGGATGATTTCCTTTTTGATGAGAGAAGGTACAGTACTGACACAGACTTGTGGCTCAATCAAACTATCAAAACTTTATTACAGTCCAAAGACCCAATTTGCTCAGCGGTAAAAGATGCACAAATGCAAAGATTCATAAACTAATAAATAGACCCAAGTTTTTTGGGTTGATTTTTGACTACGATTTGTAGACTTATACACAAGTATATAGAGTAGTTGCTGGGAAATACAGAGGAAGGGTATAGTTGCATCCATGGGCTACTGGTGGTCTTCCCATAGGCAATTGGTTGGCCAGTGTGAACATAAATGTTGGATTATAGTCCTTTGGTCTGATTCAACACAATTCTTCTAATGGAGAGCATCAGGCTAGGGAAGGGTGGCTGAATATATAGGATGTTTTGTCTTGGGAGAGAGAAAATTATAATCCATAGACTGATAGTAGTGCCTGAGCCTTTAGCTTTTGGTCTCATAGAATCATAGAAGAGACCTCATGGGCCATCCAGTCCAACCCCCTGCCAAGAAGCAGGAATATTGCATTCAAATCACCCCTGACAGATGGCCATCCAGCCTCTGTTTAAAAGCTTCCAAAGAAGGAGCCTCCACCACACTTCGTGGCAGAGAGTTCCACTGCTGAACGGCTCTCACAGTCAGGAAGTTCTTCCTCATGTTCAGATGGAATCTCCTTTCTTGTAGTTTGAAGCCATTGTTTGGTGTCCTAGTCTCCAAGGAAGCAGAAAACAAGCTTGCTCCCTCTTCCCTGTGACTTCCTCTCACATATTTATACATGGCTATCATATCTCCTCTCAGCCTTCTCTTCTTCAGGCTAAACATGCCCAGCTCCTTAAGCCGCTCCTCATAGGGCTTGCTCAGACCCTTGATCATTTTAGTCGCCCTCCTAGGGCACATTCCAGCTTGTCAATGTCTCTCTTGAATTGTGGTGCCCAGAATTGGACACAATATTCCAGATGTGGTCTAACCAAAGCTGAATAGAGCATGGGTAGCATGACTTCCCTGGATCTAGACACTATGCTCCTATTGATGCAGGCCAAAATCCCATTGGCTTTTTTTGCCACCACATCACATTGTTGGCTCATGTTTGTTGTCCACGAGGACTCCAAGATCTTTTTCACACGTACTGCTCTCGAGCCAGGCATTGTCCCCCATTCTGTATCTTTGCATTTCGTTTTTCCTGCCAAAGTGGAGTCTCTTGCATTTGTCCCTATTGAACTTCATTTTGTTAGTTTTGGCCCATCTCTCTAATCTGTCAAGATCGTTTTGAATCCTGCTCCTGTCCTCTGGGGTCTTGGCTCTCCCTTCCAATTTGGTGTCGTCTGCAAACTTGATGATCATGCCTTCTAACCCTTTATCTAAGTCATTAATAAAGATATTGAACTGGACCGGGCCCAGGACGGAACCCTGCGGCACTCCACTTGTCACTTCTTTCCAGGATGAAGAGGAAGTATTGGGGAGAATCACCCTCTGGGTTCGTCCATTTAACCAATTCCAGATCCACCTCACCGTAGTTTTGCCTAGCCCACATTGGACATTGGAGAAAGAAAGAAAGAAAGAAAGAAAGAAAGAAAGAAAGAAAGAAAGAAGGAAGGAAGGAAGGAAGGAAGGAAGGAAGGAAGGAAGGAAAGAAACCTAGTGGGCACAATCCCTGGCATGCTGAGCAGTAAAGTCCCTGGCACGTTGACTGGGGAAATTCCAGTTCCCCACATCTGATACTTTATGAAGCATTGCTTTAGGCTTGCCACACTCTTCAGAAGACTTTTCTCTCTCTGCAGAACATTATCTCTGTCTCTAAACCTTGTGAACCCACAGTGTTCTTCCTTCTTTCATCTACTCTTATTTCCTGAGTGTTTTATGTAACACTATGTAACACGATTTTTGTTCCTGGGTTGTAAATGTCATTTCCTAATTAGTTCTATCATAAAAAATGTGGAAAATGTTTATTAAACTGCAAAAACTTTGTCTTCGCGGGAGGGACATCCTGCAGCACATTTTGCTATCGTTTTTCAAATAACGTCTCATAGAGTCTTAACCAATTCGACCTAGTTTGTAGCAGTCACAAAAAAATGACATTTCCAGAGGATAACAGCTACTTTCAAAGTAAGGACTACACAATTAACAGGAAACAAACCAGGAACAGAAAATGTTTCAAATTTCGTTACATAGTGTAATGTAGTATCTATCTATAGTCACCAAATATAAACATTTGTTTCGATACAAGAAAATATTGGGTCCACACCTAAAGTGGAAAATTGTTTCATTTTTGAAACTCCATAGTTTTGAAATTGAACTTTAGGTGATACAGTTGAATACGTTAACCATGGGAAGCATCCAACTGACTCCTATTTTTTTTTTGGTGTAAGGTAAAGATAAAAGTTTCCCCTTGACGTTAAGTCTAGTCATGTCCAACTCTGGGGGGGGGGGGGTGCTCATCTCCATTTCTAAACTGAAGAGCCGGCGTTGTCCATAGATGCCTTCTAGGTCATGTGTCCAGCATGATTGCATGGAGCACTGTTACCTTCCCACTGAAGCAGTACTGATTGATCTACTCACATTGGCAAGTTTTTGAACTGCTATGTTGGCAGGAGCTGGGCTAACAGCGGGAGCTCACACCGCTCCCCAGATTCGAACCGCTGACCTTTCAGTCAGCAAGTTCAGCAGCTAAGCAGTTTAACCCACTGTACCACCAGGGCCCCCTTTTAGTGTAAACATAAGCTAAAAAGCCAGATTCACATTGATAGGTAGGACTGGTAGCTATATGTCTATCGATCCTACCCAAAATTCACTCGGTGACAAAGATTCATATTTTGTACATTGAATTTCAATAAAACATTCAAACTATGATGCAGAGTTTTAAAAGGTTTTTCAAAGGAAGGACATTTTAACATCTTATGGTATCATCTTCTTCCACAGGTATCTAATATAAAAAAGTTTTTATGATGTGACGAAAAAAATCTTATCTAATCTAAAACAGAAGAAAAGCAGGGATAAGGTGTATTGAAGCAAAGATAGAAATGTTAAGAAATGGAAAATAGAAAGTCCTATCTAACACTTCCTGCCAAGAAGAAAAGAAAAAGGAGGTAGTTAGTGACAAGGATAACAGAATCCCCAATGATATCCAAGGGATAGATGACAGATTACATAGATTAATAGATAGATGATAGATTAAGATAGATAGATAGATAGATAGATAGATAGATAGATAGATAGATAGATAGATAGATAGATATGAGACAACAGAGACAGGGCAGGGGAAAAAATGATTTTTGAGATTTTTTGCAGAATCCCTACAATGCTTTTGGGGAACCTTAGGGCAGTATTTCACAATCTTGGGGTCGGGACCCCTGGGGGGGGGTCGTGAGGGGGTGTCAGAGGGGTTGCTAAAGACCATCATAAAACGCAGTATTTTCTGTTAGTCATGGGGATTTTGTGTGGGAAGTTTGCAATTCTATCATTGGTGGGGTTCAGAATGCTCTTTGATTGTAGGTGAACTATAAATCCCAGCAACTACAACTCCCAAATGTCAAGGTCTTTTCCCCCAAACTCCACCAGTGTTCACATTTGGACATATTGAGTATTCATGTCAAATTTGGTCCAGATTTTTCATTGTTTGAGTCCACAGTGCTCTCTGGATGTAGGTAAGCTACAACTCCAAAACTCAAGGCCCACCAAACCTTCCAGTATTTTCTGTTGGTCATGGAGTTCTGTGTGCCAAGTTTGGTTCAATTCCATTGTTGATGGAGTTCAGAATGCTCTTTGATTGTAGGTATAAATTCCAGCAACGACAACTCCCAAATGACAATATCAATCCCTCCCCAACCCCACCAGTATTCAAATTTGGGTGTATCAGATGTTTGTACAAAATTTGGTCCAGTGAAGGAAAATACATCCTGCATTTTGGATATTTACAATTCATAACAGTAGCAAAATTACAGTTACAAAGTAGCAACTAAAATAATTTTATGATTGGGGGGTCACCACAACATGAGGAACTGTAGTAAGGGGTCACGGCATTAGGAAGGTTGAGAACCACTGCAGAACAGTCTGGGATTTGTTGCTTTAGGCAATTATTTTGCCCCTAACTGAACTGAATCTAAGGATCCCTGTGGAAGTGAAAAACCCACATTTTTTAGACACCTCTATAGAAATTTCTAGGATCTCCAATACACTATGGCCAACTTTCATTGGCAGTTAACTATAAGATTGCATTGGAGATACTAAGAGATTGCTAGAGAGATCATTTTAATGAAACCCGTGAATGATCCAAGTTGCAACGGTCGACCCCTCAAATGTGGAGAGCTGCCTGTACACCTCTTATGAGTTGAAATTGCTCTATCCTCAAAGATTCCAGCATCCCACATTCCCAACATCCTCCAGATGGCTGCTTGTGAAGCTACTCCCACTAATATCTTTCCTGCCCCTTGGCAACACAAACTCATACTTGTGTCTATTTTGGTATCTGCTTCTGCAGTTGCCATGCAGACCGATAGCTTTGCCTGTATTTTAGCTCGATATTGAGCCGATCGAGATGGTGAGTCAATTGGTGGAGAACTGGAGAAATTGTAATTGGATTGCGCCTCGCTGAGTATAATTTGCAATGCTTGCCCAATGAGCCAAGTTGAACTTGTTAGGGAAAAAAAGACCCTGGGAGGCTGGTGAGCTATAAAACAAACTGGTATCTGGTACCAATTCTTATTTTTGCAAGACAACATGGGAATGAAATGTAGCAACAGTCCAATGTTTTGCTTACCCAGGAGAAGAAGATTAATATTCTGTACAGGCAGGCCCCAAATTATGAACAAGATAGGTTCTGTACTGTACTGTAGGTTTCTTCTTAAGAGTCAGAACAGGTACATTTTTTAAGTGTAATTCCAGCCACATACATATATTATTTAGCTTTGGATAACACAGGGAAGGGTTTGTTTTGCTATCTGTGTCTCTGTTCAGAAGATTTCAGCTCACTTTCTGACCTAGTGAGAATTGGATTTTGAAAAAATTGGCTTGTTGTGGAAACAAGGATTGGTTAAGAAGTTTGAGTAGAGACTTTTTTTGCCATAATAATAACTTCCAGGAGTGAATTTCCTTCTCCGGGGGAAGATTCCTCTTACTTCCTGTTGTCTCACCCCTATTCTTAACTATGAGTCATTTGTAAGTTGGATGTCTGTAACTTGGGGACTGTTTTGTGCGTTTTTCCAGAGGTAGTAGTTTTATTAGTGTGGCATGTATGGGACGTGCCTATGGTAGTGTGTGTTTTGCTTACATTATGTATTTGAGTGTGTATATTAGGATATGAGGAGTGGGAGAGACATATCTGTGTATTTCAACCATCTT